GATTCCAAAAGTTTAACGATAGCACGGCCGTTTGAGCTCGGCGTTCGTCAGATCCCTGTGTGAACGCACTCAGAGGTGCTGCGTTATTGCGACACCCACATGAACGGGCCGTGGTCGACGGCCGAAACCGCCTCTGGTGTATTTCGGACCTCGTACAGCCGCCCGATTGGGACGCTGGAAGCGCAACTACGCGCACGCAATGCACCAGAGAGCCAGAGCAGCAGGAGGAAGTACGCAGACCTCAAGCGGAGATATAACCGCGCCTGCTTTAGAGCACGGCGGACGGCCTGGCGCTCCTTCGTTACCGGCACCGGGAACGAGGAGCCCTGGGGACCCGTCTATAAATGGCTAAAAGCCGGGGGAACACGGCCCTCGGAGAAATTACCAGCGTCCATCAGAAAAATGGACGGAACATTTACGTGTTCGCTTAGGGAGACCGGCGAGAGACTTCTCGAGCAACTGGTCCCTGAGGATAGCGACGCTACGGAGACCGCAGGACAGGCGGAAACCCGTAGAGAGACCGGCGTTTATGTGGGTAGGTTCGAGTCGGCATTACCTGGGCTTAGTCCGACGTTCGACCCGGTTGAACCGTGCACGGTCGATGAGGTAAGAGATGCCATTTGGCGGATGAAAACATGTAAGGCCCCGGGCCTGGATGGGATCACGGCAGGAATTTTACGGCAAGCGTGGCCCGTCCTCCAAAACCAAATTACGTTTGCGTTCAATACCTCACTGGCTACGAGGACATTCCCGAGCCTGTGGAAGAACGCGGCGCTGATCGTCATTAGGAAATCGCCCGATAAGGACCCGACGGAGGCTAGGTCGTGTATCGACCCATTAGCTTACTCCCAGTTCTAGCTAAGGCACTGGAACACCTTATCGTGGCGAGAATCCGTAAAGATACGGACATCCATATGTCGGCCAGACAATTTGGTTTCACCAAGAACCTATCGACCGTAGATGCAATGACACATGCCTTCGGCTGGTCAGATGAAAGGCGGGAGAAATACGTCGTAGGCGTATTCCTGGATATATCGGGGGCCTTCGACTGCCTCTGGTGGGCGCAACTAATGAAAGATCTTGAACAGGTTAAATGCGGCTCTGGGTTGATCGCCCTGACAAAGAGCTACCTAGACGGCCGAAAGGCCCACTTGGCGATTGGAGACATGACACTCTCGACGACCCTAACAAAGGGCTGCCCGCAGGGCTCGGAGTTCGGGCCCGACCTCTGGAGGTACGCGGTCAACCCGCTCTTGTCCGGCGATCTTCCCCCGGGGACGGAGATAGTCGCGTACGCGGACGATCTCGCGCTACTTATCTCCGGGAAACACCGTCCGGAGCTCACGGAACGCGCGAACGCGCTGCTAGAAATAGCGTCTAGATGGGCCTCTGACAGGAAACTCACCTTCTCGGCGGCCAAGTCGCAGACCTTGTGGATCAAGGGCCAACTAAGTAAGCCCCTTGACTTGCGACTTGGTGGGACTAAGGTAAAAATGACCCCGGAGGCGAAATACCTCGGGGTCACGTTTGACCCGCAAAGGAAGTTTAGCTCCCATCTGGCGGAAAAGGCTGCGTCCTCGGTAGCGCTATTCAGTCGACTAATATCTGTGGCTAAGGCTAGCTGGGGCCTTAAAGAAAGGACGACAAGGATCCTGTACAAATCGGTGTTCCTGCCGCGTATGAGTTATGCGGCCTCGGTATGGGCCGAGCGCTGCATGGCGCAGTACCGGCATAGAACACGGGCTAACACCGCCCAAAGACGCCCGTTACTGGCAATGACGGGCGCGTATAAGACCACGTCGACGATGGCGCTCCAGGTCATAGCCGGAGTACCTCCCCTCGACTTAGAACTAGTTCGGCTGGCTAAGATCGAACGGGATAAGAACGCCGTGAGGAGAGGCAACAAGTCGGCGTCAGAAGTTGCTGGAAAGGCGAAACAGTATTACGACACTACCATACGCCTCTGGCAGGAAAGATGGGTCGCCAGCGACAAAGGTAGGCGGACGGCGATTTGGTTCCCGGACGTGCGGCGCAGGCTCGAGAGGCCGTGGTTCGTTCCGGACCATTACATCTCGCAGTTTGTGACCGGGCACGGGAACTTCAATTCGTCGCTCTGTCGTTTCAACCTTCGAGGCGAGGCACGTTGCCGGTACGGTATTCCAGAGGAAACCGCAGAGCATGTGCTATACGATTGCCCATCATATAGCCAGGAAAGAAACAAGCTCGCAGCCGCAGCGCAAGCGGAAGGTGTGGACTGGCCGTGCGACTGCGATACCATGACCTCCACGGAGGCCATGTTCCTTGCGTTCAAAAACTTCTCCCGGGAGGTCCTAGAACGTAAAGATGTAGGGCGACCCCGCGGGCACGACCCAGACCCCTAATTTTAAAACCACAGCGGTCGGGCGTGTGGCTAGAGGGCGTACGTGCAGAGCACGGCGCACTGCCAGAGACATGGGGACAGTCTCCCCTATCCACGCGGGAACGAATCGTCCGAGTGGGCCTAGCCGGAACGACCGCCGCTGTCAGCGATGGCGGCGGGGCGAAAGCCTGCGAAGTACCGGATAGTGGCAGGCGAAGCGGGACCCGATAGCCGGACCTAAAGGGCCCTAAGACGGCGCCCCCACAGGATCGTCGAACGCCCTCCGTACTAAGACCCGCCTAGCCGGGAGCGAGGAACGGGATACCTTGCGGGACGGACTGAATGCCTGGTCTCTTCGGAACCGGGTCGGACGGAGAAATCTTGCGGGGCGAATTGGGTGTCCTCGCTCCCTATGAACAAATTCTTGCCTAGACCGAGAGCTCGAACTAAAGGGGCCAGACCACCCATCGGGCGAAGCACGTGCACGTATTCAGCCGGCTCGGGGCTTGATATGAGATAGGCACCGGCAGAAACGGCAATCTGTCGATAAAGATCAAAACCGTACGCGCTATAAAGGAGTCGTCGCGGTACACACAGCGGTGCCCCGACCGACTTGCTTGCGGACAAGGCAGTTGCGAGGGCCTGAACGCCGGGTTCAAACCTTGTACCACGGGACTCGGAGTAAGCCCCGTCGAGTCGGCTTGCTAATAGCGCCTCAACGCTCCGGGGGTGCTGGACCCGAGGCGCACGACCGCGTGGACTCACCGAGGACTCGCGCTCGCCCGCACCGGGGAAGGCACACTTGAGGAAGGACTCGTGGTGGTTGTGGGAGTACCGCCTTAGTAGAAGGGGTTTGACTCAGGCGATAATCCGTCGGGCTCTGGCCGCGGCGGTCACTCATTATGGCGCCCGAGGTGAGGCGGCGCCCCGGGTAGGACCCCCGGAGCAATCTGGGATTACTGCCCGGAAGAGACAACTCCGCGGTTACATAAAGGGGCTGAGTGTCTCCGGGGCAACCCGGAAGAACTGGTCGACCCCGCAACACACGGAAAGATGTTGTGCAGATTGTCTAACAAAATAATTAAAAAATTAAAATTAAACATAAGTCGGCGTTATTTGTGGACCGATTCGACAATAGTGATAGCTTGGATTTCATCACCTTCAGCAAATTGGAATGTGTTCGTCTCCCATCGAGTGGGTGAAATTCAAGACTTGACGTCAGCTCATGAGTGGCGTCATGTGAAAAGTGATGATAATCCCGCTGACGTTATTTCCCGCGGCCGAGATCCTTCTATGATACAAAGTGAAAAAATCTGGTGGGAAGGTCCTACATGGCTAAAGAAAAATGAAAGCTTTTGGCCAACAATACCCAAGGTTGATAAGAAAGTCGAAATTCCTGAAATGCGAAAAACAATCAACCTCGTGTCAACAGTTAGTAACGATTGGTCAGTTATAGAACGTAGTTCATCATGGATGAAATTATTGCGTGTCATTGCGTACTGTCTACGTTTCAATCGTCTTAAGGTAAAAAATATCGGACTAATACAACCCGACGAAATAGTCAAGGCAACTCAATGCATAGTGAAAGCAGTGCAAGTCCAGTATTGGTCAGAAGAAATCGCCGATTTGAAAGCAACTGGTCAGGTGTCTAAAAAAAGCAAAATATTTCGTTTATGTGCATTCTTAGATAAAAATCAAATTCTCAGAGTGGGTGGCAGACTAAAAAACGCCGAGACACTTGACGTTTTTCAACGACATCCTATGCTGATTCCACAAACGTGTTCTGTCTCTAAGTTAATATTTCGCGATGCACACGAAAGAACAATGCATGGGGGTCCAGCTGCAATGCTTTCTTATGTTCGAGAACGTTTTTGGACTATACATGGACGTAACATGGCCAGAAAGATATTTTATGAATGCGTTCATTGTTTTAGAACAAAACCTGTTACCGTTCAACCAATAATGGGTAACCTGCCAAAACAAAGGATAGAACCAAGTCGACCATTCTCCGTATGTGGTATAGATTTCGCTGGACCTTTCATGATTAAAGGAAGTTTACGTCGAAATGCACCGATTACAAAGGGATACTTATGCGTTTTCGTATGTTTTGCCACGAAGGCAATACATCTCGAATTTGTTTGTGACTTGTCAACGCAAGCATTTCTAAATGCACTTAAACGTTTCACCAGCCGAAGAGGACTCTGTTCAGATATATACTCAGACAATGCAACAAATTTCGTTGGGGCCAATCGCAGATTATCCTAGTTAAAAAATTTATTTCATAACGAAGAAAGTATGGAAACCATCCAAGGATATTTCACCAAATTGGAAATCCGCTGGCATTTCATACCGCCTCGATCCCCCCATTTCGGGGGTTTATGGGAAGCTGCGGTAAAATCGGTAAAGACTCATTTATACAGAACGGTAGGTAACGCAAATATGACTTATGAGGAATTGAACACTGTTGTAATTCAAGTAGAGGCTTGTCTAAATTCTCGCCCCTTGTGCCCGTTGTCCTCCGATCCTTCCGACTTAAAGGCTTTAACTCCGGCCCATTTCCTTACTGGAGACTCGTTGATTGCTATACCTGAGCCTGACACTACCACCACACCTATAAATAGATTAAATAGGTGGCGAAGAGTAACACAGGCATTCCAACAAATATGGTCTCGATGGCAAAAGGAATATTTGGCTCAATTACAGCAACGTAGTAGATGGGAAGGCGAGAAGGGGCCCAGAGTGAAGATTGGTACAGTGGTATTGATGAAGGAAGATAACATACCTCCTTTACAATGGAAATTGGGCAAGGTAGTACAAGTACATACTGGTCCGGACAATGTTGTAAGAGTGGTCACATTACTGTCTGCCAAAGGTCAATTCACGCGAGCTATCCGGATGGTGTGTCCATTACCTTTTGAGGGGAATCAAGCTGTTTAAAAATTCCACAACAAACTTAAATTTTGTCTATGTTAATATCTCTATAATTATAAATTTATTTGTTTTTAAAGTCTCATATACTTTGACTTACGTTGTCATTTTCTTTTGTACTTTCATTATTAGCATTGTATAAAAAAAAAAAAAAATGTATTAAGGTCTTGAAACATTATTGAGTTGTACAATGTTTCAAAGCGGGCGGTATGTTTGATTTCGAGCACAACATCAATCGGTCAACGGTTGTTGTCGATGCCGTTATCAACAAAAAAATGCGAGTCAGTCGTACTTTGTAATAATAATGTGCTCGAGTGCAAAATCGTCCGTTTTTAAACAAAAAAAAATCTTTTCGTTTAAATAATAAAATCGTTTTCGAGTAAAATATACTTTATACTTTATTCCTACCTTCGGGTCTCGCCCGTAAAACATTTCGAAAGAAAACATGGTCCATTCGAGCCGGATGCGTTAGTGCGTTACGCGTATAAAGTTAAATTCACGTGTTTACACGCCTCGCAGTTCGCTTTTTTTAAAGGTCGAATAAAGTATTCATCGTAAATTTATTCTGTCGTTCGATCGCAGAAATGTTTGGTTTGTTGTTTAAAATCATTAATTCGTAATTCGTAATTCATTAATTCGTAATTCGTTAATTCGTTATTCGTTATAGCGAAATTGCCGAAATTCGTACAAGCGTCGAATCGGTGTAACGTTATTGTTAGTAGTCGTACCGTCGCCGCATATAAGTGTCACGTCGTATATTGATATCACGTTATCACGTATAGTTGTTTACATTAATATGACGATATCTGATATCGTATAATCATATAATTCGTGCTCATAATATCGGAATACATGAGTTTTATTCGTACAAATTCAACTGTAAATTGAAGCGAATTATAGTTCATCATGTCGTTCAGTAAGAAATCGAATTGTCCGTGGTCAGCAGCTCAACACGGATCAAACGTCGATTAAAGGTCAGAGATTTAATTCTTAATTACCTTAGGCAAATTCCTCGTATAGATACAGCAGTGTTTCTTTTTTTTTGTTTGGTCGTTACAATTCAACTTAATTTGCGTTACCTTACCGTAGTAGTCTATTTAAATCTGAATAATTAATTATTTATTATGGGTGAACCGGCAACGCTTGTAAGTCGCCGCGGAGTATTAAAGGGCCAAATGACGCGTATTTTAAGTTACACGCTAGGAGAACGAAGTAACCTCGAGGTTAATCAGATAAGAAGTCGAAAAGATCGTTTAAAAGAGTTGTTTGATGCTTTCGAGGAAGTTCAGTCGTCAATTGAAGAAGAGAGCGGTGTATCGGAGGATAGTGAAAATTACCGCGTCGAAGTCGAAGATGTTTATTATAAAGCTATGGCAAATTGTGATAAAATTATAAAAGAAGAGGAACTAGAGCAAAGCATCAGTTATCCGCGTGCAAATAGTGAAATTCAAAACAATAGTAATACGAGTAGTAATCAAGTAGCACCCGTGAAATTAGCTGCGTTGCAAATACCAAAATTTACGGGCCTATATTCGGAATGGGCAACCTTTTATGACATTTTCACAGCATTTGTACATAACAATAGAGATATATCGGAAATACAAAAATTTTTCTATTTGCGTGAAGCACTCGAAGGTGATGCCGAAAAATGTTTGCAATGTTTAGGAACAACCGCCGAAAATTATAGAATCGCATGGCAAACCTTAGTATCGCGTTATAACAATAAAAAAGTGTTAATTCAAAATCATACTAAGGCGTTGTATGGGTTACCTGCTGTCACGTCAGAATCGTCATTTCAATTGCGTCAATTAATCGATGGGCTAAACGGTCATATAAATGCTCTTCAAATGTTAGGTCAGCAACCTAAATTGTGGGGTTCATTACTAATTCATTTAATTACGATTAAACTTGACAAAGAATGCCTGCGCGAATGGGAAACAGTTTCAGAAAAGAATGAAATTTCTACGGCAGAAAAGTTATTAGAATTTTTACAAAACAGATTCTTAGTGTTAGAAGCAATCGAATCATCGAATGGTGATAATGTGCAACAAGTAAGCGGTACTGTAACCAAAAGATGGCCAAATAAGTCAACTGCGCACGTTTCAACGAATGAAATAAAATGTTATAATTGCGCTAGTGCACATACAATTTATCGTTGTCCGTCATTTTTAGCCTTGTCAGTTAGCGATCGTATAAAGAAAATCGATGCTCTTAAATTGTGCAAAATTTGTTTACGTCCTCATCCTAATGTTAAATGTCAATCACGTCGTTGTGCCAAATGTTCGCGCTCTCACAATAGTTTATTACATTTAATGAAAGTAGACAATTTTAAAAAGAAAAATTTCGCCACTACGACCAGTGAGCCCAGTACAAATAATACGTTGACTGAAAAGTCAAATGTAAATTCAACGGAAGCCGCATCGATAAGTGTTCATGCATCAAAGATAGATAGCGCGACCGTTTTATTAGCTACAGCTATTGTAAAGGTATATAACAAAGACGGAAAGTCAATGAAGTGTCGTGTATTATTAGATACTGGTTCGCAAAATAATTTTATGACTGAGGAAGTATGTCAAATATTAAAATTACGACGTTCGAAAATATCATGTGCTATCGCCGGTATAGGTCAGTCTCAACAAAAATCGTCATCCGCAGTGTGTGCAACAATAGAATCGCTAGGTTCAAATTACAAATCAACCTTTGAATTTTTGGAGTTACCTAAATTAACTAACAATATACCGTTAATACATATAGATACATCCAACATGAACGTTCCAAGAAATATTCAGCTGGCTGACCCACAATATTATAAACCACAGAAAATTGATATTATTTTAGGTGCCTCGGTATTTTTTGAGGTATTAGGAACCGATCGTATTCAGCCAGTGAAAAATGGAGTATTCTTTCAAGAAACACATTTTGGTTATATTACAAGTGGCCAAGTACCTAGCACGAAAAACAACCCGCCCAGCTCAATTATGTCGTTTGTCGCGTGCACTGACCTGTTAAGATTGGAAGAAAAGGTTTCAAGATTTTGGCAATCGGAAGAAATCTCGTCGGAAAAGTCGTATTCGCTCGAAGAAAAATTATGTCAACAGCTCTTTGATAATACAGTAAAAAGACGAGAAGACGGAAGATTTACAGTTTGTTTGCCGTTTCGCGATTCTGTAGCGAAATTAGGCGAGTCACTAGACATAGCATTGAGAAGATTTCTGGCATTAGAACGACGATTAAATGCAAACGAGTCCTTAAAGGAAGATTATGTAAAATTCATGGAAGAATATCAAAGTTTAGGTCACATGTCACCTGTGGATTCATATGATCTGAAAAACCATTATTTTTTACCGCACCATGCCGTAATAAAAACTGATAGCACCACCACTAAATTGCGTGTCGTTTTTGACGGCACGTGCCGAACTACTTCGAATCTAAGCCTAAACGATGTATTATTGAAAGGTCCTGTAATACAGGAAGAGCTCGTTACCTTGTTGGCGCGATTTCGGACCCATAAATACGTTATAACAGCCGATATTAAGCAAATGTATCGTCAAGTCCTGATCGAAGAAAAGCATCGAGATTATCAATTAATATTATGGCGTCCTAGTACTAATGAAAAAATACAAATATATCGTTTAAACACCATAACGTATGGCACCGTTCCGGCTTCGTTTTTAGCGACAGGCTGTCTACACAAGTTGGCAGAAGAAGAATTGACAAACCATCCAGGTGCCTCCGAAATCATTCAAAATGATTTCTATATGGATGACCTGCTGTCGGGAGCAAATACAATTCCAGATACTATACGTATAAGAGACGACGTTATAAATATTTTACGTAAAGGTGGTTTTGAGTTACGCAAATGGGCAGCCAATGATCCTATTTTACTAGAAGGTATACTCGGAAATAATAAGGAAAAGAACTTAATTATGGAGTTGGATAACGGTCCTACAAAAATTTTGGGACTTATTTGGAATCCAAAAGATGACTTATTGCAGTATAAGGTTACACCATACGAAAGTGGCTCCGTAATAAACAAAAGAAAAATACTACTACGTAGTACTAGATCCAAAAAAATGGCTTACTTCCGATAATGATGAAATCGAAAAATATTACATTTGGAGATGATAAAATACGTCACTTATGTCGCCTTTCAATTAAATAAAGAAAATGATATTGTTCGGGGTTTTCAAATATTCAAATTGGAAGGAGGAAAGAAGTGTTCCAGACGACTTACAAATACTTTTAAAACCTTAGCGACTATTCCGATATCTACAAGTGAGTGCGAGAAATTTTAGCTCAATGAATGAAATTATAACACCTCTCAGATCTTCATTAAATATTAGTACAGTCTCTGCACTTTATTTATGAATTGTGTTGGCCCTCCCCCACTGAATTTCGTCCTGAAAATATGTACGGTCATGGTTAGCCAAAGGTGGACATGCTGCTGATGACAATGCAAGTCGAAACGTGACAAAAATTGACGACAAATATTCAGCATTATGGAAATTATTATAAACTATGTATTCAATTTGATTGTAAATTTTTTAAGCTTAAAATTCAAAATAATTAAATTAAAATTAATATTATAATACTCATATTAATTTTAAACGTTCCGTTCGTAAAATTTTCATTTCGAGCACTGGACAATATGTATATAACTGACTTTACAATATTTGATTAAAATTTATAATCATGTACATTTCAAGTTTTTCTTTAAAATTATGTCTTCTGTCACTTAATATATTTTTTAACTGCGAAAACACGTTCTACGTCGACACTTGTTATCGGGCATTGTTTGTAGCAGCTTATAATACAGGATCTTCTTTTAAATCTACATAATTTTCATTTATTAAATTGTTGTACAGTTTTAAAATATTGTATCCGGAAAAAATTTCTGTTTTTGATAAAATATCAAATACTGATTTGAATTTTCATATAGTATTATCCTATAGACTGCAGTAGTACTGTATGTGTATACTGAATATGTAATCGATAATCTATCGGACGCATACTAGTTGCGGACGAAATTATTCAGGTCAATATTGTAACATAACAATTGCGGACACGTTTTCGTTATCATAGTACTAGTTGCTACAAAGTTTTTAAATAAAATCTGTAATTTGCGGACACAAATTTCCCTTCACCACTTTTCATTTTATAGTTTTGTAGCAAAATTTTTGAAACAGCATGTATAAATGATAATCACTGATTTCACCATTTGAATATTGCAACATTTGTTTACTAATAATCCTCTTTCGACAGTTCTTTGGCTCGTTTAAATTTTACAGCAGTATAGTTTATTTTAGGATAGCTACTAGGTGTACTTCATTTATGGCCTCGATCAATTGATATATATTAGGGTACTGCGATAAAACATACCATTAATTTTAGCATGGAAACTTTCACAAGCATTTGTGGTTCGTGAAATAGATGAAGAAATTCGCCCATATTTCTGGAGAAATATTGCAGAATCTATTATTATAGTTCAAAACATAATCTAAAAAATCGTGTATAAGTATAGCCAGTGGTAGCGTAGACATAAAGTCATCTGTAAACAGTCATCCACTTCTGTTGGTAGCAAAAACGGTAGACCAAAAATGATTTTAAAAAGTTCCCATTTTCGCCCTCTTATATACTTTAGCTAGACCTAATGACTGTATTTTTCGGTACCAAGCTTGTCCGAGATGGAACCGACATCCTTTTATTTTGCTCATTGACCATACTAGACGAACAGCTGAGTGAATAGATTGTTCAAAATCAATATGAAAAGTAGTTGGTAGGATTGGTGAACGTTTTTTTAAAAATTCTAGTGCTGTACAATAATCAGTAACTGATTTGCCAACCAAAAAACAAAAAAATAATGGTACGTAAACACTATTTTTTACGCCATGAACCACGAATAATTGATTGTACGCAATTAGTATGTTACATTTGTGTCCGCAATTCGTATGTTACCTTTTTAGATTTCATCCGCAACTCGCATGGTTTTTGTGACTTTGTCCGCAACTAGGAAACACCGAATCTATCGACTATCGTAGTAAGGTACCTTAGTCATTATCTTAATTACTTCGTATTACATGGTTGTATATATATATAATTATATTGTTAGATATAAAAGTCCAATACTTTGTATAACAACATAATATAGCACCGATAAAAATAATACAAAAATACAAAAATATTTGTAAAAAAGTACATTTTTATAAAAAAAAAACCCGAAACGTGCAATTTTGTGCAACATAAAACTTTCTTTAAATTAATCTACATCTCTTGATTTGGATTTGTAGCTTGTTTCTATTGAATTTAGAACACGCCATAAAAAGATGCAATTACACGGGAATCCGGTCTTTAGTCATAGCCTTGTCCCCTGCAGTTTTTCAGTTTGAGATTATGTATATTTAATAAATTTAAAATACTTTCAGACAGCCCTTTTCCAGTTGAATCGTTTATAGGAGTGAATTGAAAAAAAATGTTCACTTATATCTACATTTTCTTTAGATAAATCGACAAATCTGATAGTCAAAGACAATTGCTCTATGTGGTTTACATCAGGAGTGCAATCAGCTATGATAGAATAATATTTAGCTTTGTGGGCTTTGGATATGATTGTAGCAGTGACTTTGTCTGCCATTATTTGAATCAGTTCATTTAAAATATTTTTTCCACAATAATGGTCCTTAATTTCATTTTTTTTAAATTCGAGTTACACGATCTTGCATTATAGCAGAGGTATTCAAACTTTTTCATCCCAAGGCTCCTTCAAGTCTTCACAAAATGTTGACGGCTCCCAAATTAAAAATGACAAAAAAATCAATGTTTATATGAATGTAATTTATATTTTATACTAATTATTTATTTACCATATTACATATATAAAAAAATTATAAATAAGTAGTTATTGTAAAAAAAAATATAACAAAATATTTTATGTTTAGTCTTAGGAAATATAACTCAATAAAATTACAATAATATTAAATAATCAATATTACTTATTACTAGATTTTTAGTGAGATGGATGCGCTTGTTCAAATATGTTCAAATCGTGGCTCAAGTTTGGAAATAGCTATTCTCATCTCCTTCTCAACGTTCACTTTTGATCGATATTTTGTTTTAATTACGGCTAACGCAGAAAACCCGGTCTCACAGAGGTACGAAGTTGCAAAAGGTGTTAAATTTTTCAAAGCTTTGGTGGCCAATTCGGTGTATTGTAGTTTCACATGCGTCCAAAATTGTGTTAACGACGATGATCCGAACTTGGTCTTCATTGTGGAATCTGATGTTACATCGATCCACTGTTCTTGTTCAATAGATGACAAATTTGTTGGAAGGTCAGCACTGAAGGGATCTTTGATCCAATTTTGTTGTTGATTATTTTTTGGAAAATAGTGTTCGAAATGAATTTTGAGGTTAGATAAGTGGTCAATGAACTCATTTTTGACGATCTCATTCAAGTTCATATCATTTTCTTTTAGAAATGTATGGAGCATAGGAAAGCAGTCATTAAAAGTGTTGTCTTATATTTTAGTCTTCCATAAAACTAATTTTCTTTGGAAAGCCGTAATTTTATCAAGAAGCTCAAAAATGTGGGTTTCATTTCCTTGTAACGATTTATTTAATATATTTAGCTTTGAAAAAATATCGGAAAGATATGACAGTTTTGTAAGAAAATCAGTGTCTTCAAATTGTTTGTAGTATTCATGGTGGTCTAAAAGAAAAATATGAAGTTCTTTTCTAAGTTCGAGTACTCTTGCCACTACATTTCCACGTGAAAGCCATCGAGAATTGCAATAGTAAAGTAAGGAAGTGTGCTCAGCTCCCATATCAACACACATTTGTTCGAAACATCTGGATTTCAACAGACGAGTTTTAATGAAGTTAACGATTTTAATAGTTGATTGCAATACCTCATCAAGAGATGGGCTGATAGATTTTGAAGCGAGAGCTTCTCTGTAAATTATGCAATGAGTCCATACAGCAAATGGGGCTTTTCTTTTAATGAGGGCTTGAAGTCCGTTGTAACATCCTGACATCGAACGAGCTCCATCAGTACAAATACCACAGCACATTTTCCACATTAAATTATTTTCCGTTATGAAAAAATCGAGCATTTGGAATAAATCTACTGCTCTAGCTTGACTTTTAATAGTTCGGCAAAAAAGAAGATCTTCGTGAAAAACGCCACCATCTATAAACCTAACGTAACAGATTAGGTGGCCATCATTATAATTATCAGTGGCTTCGTCCAGTTGTAGAGAAAAATCCTTGCCTTTTAATTTATCTATCAACTGATCGTTAATATCTTCAGCTAAATCAAGTATTCTGCGACTAATAGTAGTATCTGATAATGGTATGTTCATTAATTGCTTGGCAGCAACCTCCTCAAGCATAATTGACACCATATCCATTGCTGCCGGTAAAATGAGCTGTTCTGCGATAGTGTGTGGTTTTTTACATTTAGCGACCTGATAAGCAACTTTGTAAGATGCAAGCAGAGCCTTAGAAGGTATCTTAGCATGCTTGGCAAAGGTTGTCTTTTGTTCACGCATTGCTTTTAATTTTGACTCAAAATATGTACGTGGTTTATTTTTCAAAGTTTCATGTACCGTTTCTAAATGACGTTTCATTTTATTAGGGAGCATGCTTTCAACAGCCGTAACTTTGAAACAAATAACACACTGTGGACGTTCTTCATTCTCCACTACCGTATACGTAAAACCATAATCCATGTAACTCTCATCATATTTACGGTGTTTTGATTTTCTTACAGTATTAGAACTATCAAATTCCGGATTATCACGTTTAGGTCTGTTCAAAAATTTATCCATCCTGATATAAATCTAAAACTTAACTAAAACGAGAAAACTATCAATTGTGTACACGTAAACACGTTAATAGTCAATAGATAAACACAACTTGCGACTAATACTGCCAAACACGACAAACGCACTGATAATTTAACGATGGCAATCGATGGTATCGCTATCGCTATCGCAACTTACGCGACCAATTAAAGCTATATTTAGTGAATGATTGTTGTAGATTGTAGACTGTAGACAATTCAACGTTTCCCAAACGGTGTGCCTCAATGATAATAACAAACGTTTTTCGTAAAAATATTTTATTAATTAAAAATAATTTATATTATAAAATATTTATTGGTTTTCAATTATATGACGCGGCTCCCTTCGACAACTCCCGCGACGCCCCTGGGAGCCGCGACGCACAGTTTGAATACCTCTGCATTATAGGATCAAACTTGGCAAACAATTGAATAAGACCAAGATATTTTCCATTATTCGGACTGTAAAGTTTATCAGAAACTCCGCGGAAAGCTATGTTATTTTCTGCCAAGTATAAGGCAATGTTCATTAAGCGTGTTAAAACTTGATTCCAGCGCTCAGATTCTTTTTGAATTAGTAACTGTTCCAAGTGATCAATTGATTTCCCACTTTTAAGTCTTAATTCAGTTTCTATCCACTTAGTATAAGATAAAATATGATTACTACAGGTTTCATGAGATTTTAAGGTGGATGATAAATGAATCCAATCATTGAAGCCCGTATTTGCCAGAGAAGATCTTGATCCTTGGTGAAAACATAAACAACAAAAACAATATACTCTATCTGAACTTTCGGAATATATGAGCCAACGCCGAGGAATAAGTTCATTATTTGGGAGTGTACGAGAATAATGAATACTTGAAAAATGTCGATCTTTATCATCCTTTGGATATTGTTTTAAAAACACTTGTCTAGGGCCATACGAAATTATTAAATCTTTTAGTTTAGAACTTATAACTTTAGGCCATAAAGCTGGATCATGATCATATATATTATTATCGATTGTAACAGGAGAATTTTGAACTAAATGTGATTCTTTATTTATGTCATTGTTTGCAGTATCAGGAATAATTGTTTTATTAATGTTATTAAGAACAAAATTACTCGTAATTGCGATAGAATCACATTGATTGTTGGAAATTTTATCCGATTCAATCTGGGTATTTTCACTATTAAATCCTATTGAAGCCGAGGTGGATGGTGAACTATGAAATTCATTACTTTCAGATAATGAGCTATTTAAATACTTCTGAAGATTCATTGACTTTTTATTTCGTTCAAATTCGATTTCTTTTTTTATATTCTGCTCCAGGGGTTTTTTTTTTTAATCCAGACATTTTTATTTTATGTTTGATTATCAATAAATCGAAACTGTTAAAGAAAAACATTTTATTTATTAGAAAATTATCATGAAAAATGAACATAACACAATTTATAATATAAATAATATGTATAAATAATTAAATATAAATAAGTATATAAAAAAATCATGACTTTGGCCCTTTAGTGAAACTTTATAAACAGCTTGAGATACAAGAAATAACCATTTTCATAATTGTAGTAGTAATTCTAATTCTAATAATTATTTCGTAATTATAGTATATAATTCGTAACTATAGTATACATTTCATAAAATATAATGATTATAACTAACTATTATTATAACACAATAAGCAAAATATTTTTTTTTGATTCTAAAATAGCAAAATTATAAAATAAACGTGAGTACATATTTTAACCACAACTTTATTATTATTCAACCAATTATGATTATACGATATTTGCAAGTAGATACTGCAATAAGTGCCGATAACAATTCAGTGAATTGAAAAATAGAAAACAAAAAAAACTAAAATACATCTAATACATCCCACGCAAAACCATTTACAATTTTAAATACATAATAAATATTACGTTTAATTAAGTTTTAAAGCTTACCTATTGTAAATTGTAATTGTAGACTGCAACTAACATGTGTCCACCTCAACAGTCAAAATGAAAAGAACAAAGAAATTCAAAAATGATTTTACGTAGGTACATGCGAATACGATTCATAATAAATTATCGTTATCGAGTCGGTCCGCTTATCTAATCGCTCAGTCGGTCACAATAATATTAGTTAGTAGTTACTGTTGTACAATAAAACATAATAATATTATCTGATACAATATTCGACAAACTATTATTGCGATAAAAATTTACGACTACCTGGATACCTTGCGACTAACACATAGATCCCGAGCGGCTACGACGAGATTAGAAATTGCCTAGTACCACCACCACACCACCGCTCATATGCAAACTGTACAAGAATTTTACCGCCAGTGCTTGAGGGTGTTCTAATTTTAACGCATCTTGCGCGACCCCCTGATTTTGGCGCCCCTGTGCCGACGCACACATCGATCGTATCTAAAGCCGGCCCTGACGGACACTTCCTAAAAGCGAACGTTTTTATGGGAACGGGGACATTTTCACCACTTTTATACAGGAAAACCTCTAAATAACGGACACTTTTATGGCAATTTCATTTTTGATTTTGACGATTTTTATCGTAAATGTTGAATAATCGTGGAATGCCTCAATAAATATCTATCTAACTATCTTATATAATCTGACTACTATTCATTATTATACTATGTACAATTATAGTTTATCTAATCCGTCCGTTATCTATAAAAACGTTTTTCATACGATTTTTCAACAGTTTATGTTCTTCTATCGATATACAGAACACTTCACTGTTCTCCAACGCAGTCGAATTAGAAAATGCCTTGATACATGAAATTACTATGCATCAAGGTCTTAAATAAGCTAAAGTAACTGATTTTTTCAATAAATGTTAATTTTTGTTTACATTTTCATTAATTTTTACATAGATAATAATATCAGAACTTTAAATAATACATAATAGGTATGTATAATAAATATTTGTATTAAAATAATAAAAATTATAGGTATACATATATCATTATTATACATATTGCATATATACATATAAATAATGTTGTACATAGTTATTAATTTCTGCAAGTTATTTCCCCCCTCTGAATAGCGGATACCTTTAAATAACGGACAAAATTAAGGTGACCGAGAGTGTCCGGTATTTAGAGGTTTTACTGTATACGTAGGTCGTAGATACATATAAATTATACAGTGATATAATAATGATCTCATGAATATTAATATTAAATTTATATTATATTTACCTGTAAAGACACTGCACCTAAAACTGCTTGAGTACTAAGTTCAGTATGTTTTGCCGTTGTTTTTAAAAATTGCACTGCTTTTCTCGCTTCAATTTTTGCTATATCGGGTACATGGTTACACTCTTTTTCGCTTTTACTAATAATTTGACCATCCGTCAAATTAATACGACCACGACATTTTTTCGTATTGCATTCAATACATCGCCAACTACTGTTTTTGTCAAATCTATATAAATATCTGTTGTAACATAGTAGGTCTCGACCTTTTTCACTTTTAATAAATTCCATTTTGTAATTAAAAAAAATTAAAATTTTGAATACAATTAATTGAATGAAAACGAAAAGAGAATAGTGTTCATTTTGCACGTGTAAAATTACGACAGTAAAGTTATCCAACGATAAAAACCTACATCTACTGCTGTGTTATCGTCGTTGAAATTTTATTCTAAAAAAAAAACGATTTAATAACACTGTATCGATACGATACGAACGATGCGGCAAATAAGTAATAATATTATCATCAAACATAATTATTATCTGACGGGTTATATAGGTATTCGTAGACAGTGTGAACAGATTTATTTATAATTTCATCATCTCGTGAACAGTAGTTAGTAAAATATTATAGCGCTTAATTGTCGCAGTGCCCAATTTTCCCCGCGCTCAATTGTCGGGACACCTTTATAATAAATAGGTATATTATAATGTTTTACTTTTTTAATAATAATATTGCGTAAAAAAATATAATTATGAACTGGGATTTAAATAACGAACATTGTCCATGGTTGTATATTCGTTTGACAACTCATCACTGGAGAATTGAGAGTAATAAGACAAAGCTGACGAAGATGGTGGTGGACGGAAATTTGCGGGTGTTTTATTGAAAGTTGCATACGAAGTATTATAAAATTGACTATGTTCTGGTGTTTTTAAGTTTTGTAGGAGCTGCATTGTTTGCATTCTAAATTCAAATTTCTTATCCATTGTTAAAGATTTAACGCATGGTAATTATGAATAAAAAAAGCCAAATCTTCATCATTGTCAAAGGTTTTCTTTGATGCTTTGTGGCTTTTCATAAAGTCGATTAATGCATGTTCCATATTGAGTTTTTTTCTTTTACTTGTGGATTTTTCATTTGAAGATGTTGCTGTAATATCCATATCTATGTTGCTGTTATTTATACCATCGTCAACACAAGTCACCGAATCATGCTCAATTTCATCAAAATTGTCTACTCCATCTTCTTCAGTTGTTGCATAACTAGAATCAGTATTACGTAACTCCTTCGTTTTTCTCAGGAATGACAACTGTTCACCGTAGACGTACTGTCTAATTTTTGTAGCCGCCGAACCAGATCTTTTACATTCATCTTGTTTTTTCAAGTTTCGCGTATAATTATATCAAATTGTACGCTACTTCAAAGTTATATCTTGCACTAAAATAAAAAATAATAATAAGTTTACTTTTTTTGCATAATGGTTATTAAGAGGATATTTTTGGTTATTTGGTTTTTAATTATTTAATTTATATTATTATTAAATCGTTTTAATTAGTTTTTAAATTATTTGATGTTTTATATTATTTTATTCACCAGATATCTTGCTTCAGGGTGCAGTTTTAAAAAACTGCATTATAACTATCGGATTGGGAGAAGTACTGCAAGTGAAATCGTCAGAAAAGTATGCAAAAGTATTTAGAACAGATTAAAAGAAATATGCATTTCTATCCCTGATCAGGGTATGTGGCTTAAAATTGCAGAAGAATTCAATGACAGAGCAATTTTTTCAAACTGCTTAGGCGCTGTTGATGGAAAGCATATCCGAATCATAAAACCGGAAAGAAGTGTTTCATTATATATGAATTATAAGCATTACTTTTCCATTGGATTACTAGCTATTGCCGACGCAAACTATAAGTTCATTTATGTAGATGTTGGATCTTATGGAAAAGATTCAGTTCAACTATCTTTAACCCGTCAGAAGTCTCGTATGAGCGCGGCGTTCATTCCGTTATTAGTTTAACTACCACTAGTTTCAATTAAAATTTTAAATTGTTGAAAACTACGTATACCTTATCTTATCTTATCTAGGCACTTTTCTATAAATAAAATAATCCAATCCATAATCTTGTGTTGAAATGACAATAGATTAAATAAGTCAGTTCTGATAAAGTGAGCGGCGCGCTCATACGCGACTGTTGGTGTATGCATTTTTCTCGTATAGTTTTTTTTATAATTTCGCGTTATAATGTCTGATAATACACAAAATGTGTGTAATTGGTTAGATGAAACTGAAGAAGGTAATTTAATATATGATTCTGATGACACTGACGCTGATCCGGATTTTGTATGTACAAATACGCACAATGAAATTGATTCTGAGTCGGATACAGATGTTGACGTACACATAAATCCGTCTTCATCTAGAATAAATAATGCCTCAGTTGCATCAAGATTACGATCTAACAGTCCACTCATACGAGACAATTTCAGTTACTATTTAGGTAAGGATAAAGTGACAAAATGGTATAAAGAAAGTTGTACTCCAAGTAATAGTCGTACACTTCGACGTAATATAGTGTTACATTTACCCGGTGTAAAAAGAGTGGCACGAGACGCAAAATATATTATTGATTGTTGGAAGCTATTTTTTCCGGATATGGTCATTGATGAAATAGTAAAATGTACTAATATTTATTTGACAAAGATTCGTACAAATTTTCAACGGGAAAGAGATTGCATAGATACGACAAGAGAGGAAATAAAAGCGTTGTTTGGTCTTCTGTACTTGGCAGGTGTTTTACGTAGCAACTATTTGAATTTGAAAGATCTTTGGTCAGACGATCCTTTATCTCCCGAATATTTTTGTGCTGTCATACCCCTAAAACGATTTTATCTATTGCTTCGTGCACTCAGGTTCGATGATATAAATACAAGAACTGAAAGAAAAATGTATGACAAACTAGCCGCCATCCGAATGATATTCGATGGATTTGTACAACGTTGTCAGGCTGTATATACTGTTGGGGAAAACTGCACTATCGACGAAATGCTCGA